AAATCTGATGTTCCTGGATGCCATGTTGTCGTTTCATTTTCTTGGCTCATAGCGTGCATTACCAGATCTTTAGTGACATTTTTCACCACTGCCTTGTACTCTTCCCTGTTTTTGGAGACACTGAGGACTCTTCTTGGTAATGACAACAGCTTTTTGAAGGTTGGGACGGTAATATTATCAAGCTGTTCCCTCTGATTAAAAATCAAATATTTTTCCTTGCAGTTGTGTGTTTTGCAAAGATCCTTGAGAATGGCCTTGTCTAGATTTTTCCGCCATTTTAGGGATAGATCCAAATGTTTTAGCTCAATTTCAGGCCAGATTTTCTCAATCAGGCGATCGCTGCAGTCAAGAGTGAGGCGCTCTGTGACGAGCTTGTATTTAGAGGAGACTTTTTCTATGGCCTGTGAAACCACCAACTGAATCACTCTGTTGACACACAACCTTTCCCCCATTTTCAGTGTTTTCTCCAGTGTCGATATTTCAGCCTTTGTCTCCAGTATTTTCTTGATCTCATCTTTAAATACTATCTGCACTCCTTCTAACACTTGTTTTGACTGTTGCATTTCCTTTTTTGCCTCTTCAACATATTTCTTCTTCACTGACAGTGCTGTCTGCACTTCATTCAGCACTTTTTTTGCTTCTTCGCACTGTTTGTTTGCGAGTTCAGTATAGTTTGTCTGTTTTCAGAGTGCTTTTTCCACTTGGTCATCTGTTGGTGGTGTTTTGAAACCGCTCTTCTCTGCACTCTGATACACGAGAACGTGTATCAGACTTCTGATGAGGACAATTCTGGGGTTGGAGTCTCTACTGTCTTTGTCTTAGCCTTCGCAAATTCTTTTGTCTGCTCATCCAGTTTTTTCGGCATTTCTTTTGTGTCCTTCACCACTTTCTGCTCTTCCAGGACTTTCTTATTTTCTTCCTCACGGACTGTCTTCTCCTGCTCCAGATTCTCTCTGTGTGTTTTCTCATTCCACATAGTTTCTTTCAGAGAGGCCTTGTGTTTCTGTAGCTGTGCGAGCTCAGCAGACAGACTTTCCTTCTCCTGTTTCAGGATCAGGATTTCACTGTCCCTTTGCCGAAGCTGCTCTTTCAGACAGTTCATCTCAAGGTCAAAGGTGATGGTCTTTTCCTGACCTGAACAAGTCTGTTCCTCTTTTTCTACTCCAGGTTGGATCTCATATTGGTCCAGCTTAGCACGCATCAGTGAAATTTGTGCCATCAACTGTTTGATTTGCTCTTTGGCTGTCTATGAATCCTCTTTTAAAAGCTGATTTTCA